ATATATTTGATTATTTTAAAGAAGTGTCAGCTAAAATTTGTGCCTGGGACATCGAAGATTATGACCTTGTGGGGCTCTTAGACGCGGATATGTGCGTCATACGTAACATGGATGAACTTTTAGAGTTGGATCTGAGTGATGATAAAATTGCTGCATGTCATGCGTGCAAATGTAATTCGCTTAAAAATCCCTTGTATCCTAAGGACTGGTATAGATTTTTTTTACTTTTTTGTTATGATTTAATCTAATTAGACTATCAATCATACATACTTAATAAGCATATGTTCTCTATATTCGGTTTAATTAATTTATTAGGATCCCAGAAAATTGTGCATACACGAAAGGACCAATTTATCCGGAATCTACTAACATACCACCAATCACTAATTCTGAAAGTTATTTTAATTCTGGATTGATAATTTTACGTCCTTCTAAATCGAAATTTAATGAAATCTATAACCGTCTTATAAATCATGAAAACCCCGATCAATTACTATTTCCGGAACAAGATCTACTTAACGAAATATATAAAGGCAATTGGGTAGGACTTCCTTATATTTATAATGCGTTAAAGACTTTGCGTGATTGCCATTCATCGATGTGGTCGGACAAAGATGTTAAGAATGTTCATTACATAACCAAATACAAACCATGGAAAGAGGATAGTATAATTATGGAGCAGAAACTAGATAGAAGGGATAGTGATTCGATTTTGAATAATTGGTGGTGGAAAGTCTATAGAGATGAAGGGTGGAATGAAGAATTTAAAGAATAAAGTATTTTTTGATTTTGAAAACAAAATCTTACTTCCTCTTTAAATATTAATATCACCACCCAAAATAACTTTTTTGTTTTATTCCCAATATATATATATATTTCTTACGCCGTTTTACAAGTAAATTTGCCAGAAACCCTCTAGAATAACCATCAAGATATAGTTGTATTTAGTGATGTGCCACGTACAGTACAGTACGCAAAAATTTTTTTAGAATATTTTAAAACAAAACATGAAAGTATCCCTATCTCAAAATTTTGACTATGAAACTTTCTTTCGCACTCTAACAAGAATTGTTCCTTGCAAAATGTTACGTATAACTTATTTATAAATGCCACGTGTATTGTGTATATTACGTATGTTACACACACTATACAACTGTACGTACTGTACGCTAAAAAAATCCAGGTGGCACATCACTAGTTGTATTACCATTATATGTTATTATGGCTTATGTTGTAACAATTTGAATAAATCGAAATAGTTTCGGCCACATAATTTATTATATTATTAAACAATTATTAATTATAAATTTTACGATGAAAAATTAAAGTTCAATTAGTATTGTCTAAATTCAGGATCTAACTTGACATTGCATTGGTGCAATGTTTTTATTTATCGTGTTTTTTCAATTGATTGACTAATCTTAATGTTGCATTAAAATGTTATGCTCTATGTGTAAAATGTTATGCTTAACATTTTTACTTAAGAGCATAAAGATAGTCGTTTTAATAAATTGTTTGTCTCTCATTTCTGGGTTTAACTATGAAAACGCAAATGGGTTATTCTCCTGCTTATCGAGCAACCTGCGCAGCTTTTTTAGGATCGTTTTTTTTTTTTTTTTTTACATGACTGCCGTCCCGACAGGTCACGAGGAAACTGTATACGTACATGACTGTCTCCTGAAGGTCACGAGAAGAATGCAGACATATATGACTGTCGTCCGACAGGCCAAACCACGCCCAAACCTTACCCTGCATGACTGTCGTTTCAACAGGCCACCTTGAAAAACTAAGCTATCCTTATCGACCCTAATATATACTCAAAACGATTACTCATCGATTATCTCATACTTACTCAAGTTACCCACTTATACTATACTGATCGATTACTAACTAATTACCTCATAGTCATACTAAACGCTTATACTATCAAATGCCCGAAAGCGACAATTACCTCATACTTAGGCGACCCCAATTCAATTCAGTGGTTTACATTACATTTTCATTATGAAAGAGGGGGGGGG